AAGCACTTGCCAGGGAAAGACAGAGAGGGAAAGTGAGAAATCACCCCCCAAGGGGATGGCTATGCCTTAATTTCTTCTCCTTCACTATCCTGTTTGGACTTTGGGCCCACATACATGTGCATCTGGTGTGATTTTTCAAGCCTGTGTCCAGGACCTGAACCTGTTCAGCTATGTGGGAGTCCAGAGCCTTAACCACTATGCTACCTGCTGACCCCAGAAAAAGAGTACATTTAACAATAATAAGATGAGAAGCAGCAGTCAATGAACAATGAAACCATATTGAATATCAACATCTGAAAAATGCCACCCCCACAAAAGATATCCACATCAAAAGTTCAGGGTTCAAGTCTAGAGACCTGTCTGAATACACTGGATCTGCCATGATCTAAGATGGCTGAAGCTGGGGGAGGACTGAAGCATGGAGACACTGTTGGGAGTGTTTCTCTGCACTCACTGATGGAAGAAATAAATAATAATAATAATAATAATAAATACCTACACTGAATTCCTGGAACCTAAAAAGGTTGTGTGGTAAAAGATGTGATTACGGTAAGGTTCTTGGGAGAAGGAGAAGCTTATCCTATGTTATTCTGGTGGGCCATAAATGCCAAAAGTAGTTTCTTTTAAGACAGAGACAGAGGGAGATTTAGCACAGACTCACAGAAGGAGAAGCAGCAATGTAACTGTAGATGCAGAGATTGGAGTGATGTAGCCATAAGCCCAGGAACGCCCAGAGCCCAGAGCCACCAGAATCTCGGAAAGGCAAGATCTCTTTAGAGGGAGTATGGCCCTACTGACATCCTGATTTTGAACTGGAGCTGTGAAAGAATAAGTACGTGATGTTATAAGCCTCCAGTTTGTGGTAAATTGTTTCAGTAGTCAATGGAACCTGATATACCAATGTATTTGGACGTCAGAAAAGTCATGATGTATTTTTACATAGGAAACTATAGAAAAACATGTCATGATGTTTCTGATGACCAAACAGTCATAATTTTTAGTCATAGCTTATTATTAATTTCTATTTTTACTGTATTATAATAAAAAAATGTGGCTTATAAAAATTTTTACTTTCTTGGGGACAGCAGATGGCATAGTGGTTAAGGTGCTGGACTCCCATATGGTCGACTGAGGTTTGAGTTCTGGACCCAGTGGCTTGAAACTCAGGCTGGGCATGTGTGCATGAGTGCCCAAAATGCCAAGAGGAGAATGGAGGAGAAGGGACTGCAATGTGGCCATCCCCCCAGGGGATGTTCTCACTTTCTCTCTCTGTTCCTCTCTGTGTCTCTGGCAAGAACATGTGCCCTATAGCAAAAATCTCTCTCTCAAAAAAAAGTTTTACTTTTTCAACTATTATTTGAAAAAAGAATATAGTAAAACTGGATTTTACTTATTATATATAGCTACCCAACTATGTGCAGTTCTTCAATACACAGTGGTGATGTTCTCCTCTAAGCCTTTCCATGCCTGCTCATACTTCAACTTGGAATGCCTTCTCTTTTTTCTCCCCTGGCTCCAGTTTATTTCCTGACTTTTAAGATCTAACTTGGATATCACTTCTGCCAGCAAGACTTCTCTGTACTTTTCACAGCAGGCTAAGTATTCCTCTTCACTATTCCATAATGCCTAATGTGCCTCTCTAGTTTTGAACCCTTTTCAGTCATTATAATGACTTAGGATATATCTGCTTACATCCTCCAGTAAGCTGCAAGCATCATCAAGCCAAGACCCTTCTTACCCATCTTTCTATCCCAGTTCTTGACATACTTCCATGACTTACTGAGCCATCCACTGATTGTTACTGAGTACCAACTATGCCAGAGCATGGACACACAGCGTGTGCTCAACAAATGCTTGAAAAGCTAGGCACAAATGAAGCTATGCCACTTGTTTAAACAGATGGATTAAAACATACAAAACAAACAAAATGACTGAAAAAAAAAAGACAAACAAGGAAAACAATTCATATTTTCCCTAATGGTATTTTCTGAAGATAGGCTGCATGCAAATCACCATGCTAGGTTCCAGAGACAGATACTCACATGACATCACCTGCATAATGTCGAATCCGGAAGTCTCTATCGAACTCCAGAATTTTGTCTGAGGCGCAGAGCTATGAAACCAAGAAAGAGATTATTTTGAAAACAGACATGTTTTCTTTTCTAAAAATATATTTGAACTTAATATGATAATCATGTCACAAACCACGATACCACTGAGTGAAATCAGATTGTGTAGGGCTTGATTTAAATAACTGGCTTACAGGTAAAGACTGAGCCGTCACCAGAAATTGACATAACTAGACCACTTTCCAGCCAGCCTTGCAATTGGATATGGCCAGGTAACCGAATTCTGGACAATGGACAGGTAGGGTAACTAACTGCTCTGGGCCAGGGCTGGTAGGAAGTAAATGAGCCCCCTCCCAGATAGAGAAGACAGTCTGGAGGGGATGGCATAGCCAGAGGGTTGAGGTCCAGGTTCCCGAGAAAGAAATGGATGTCTGCTGCCTTATTACACTTAAATCTTGGCTATTATCTTAATGTGGCCCAGCCTAGTCTGACTGATGTAGTTTCTTTCTCCTCGGTGTGCTGCTTAACAAGAACCACAGGGAGGACTTACTTTCTGCTAGATACATACATCTTACTCAAGCCACAGCTGATAGTTAAGGTAAGTATTTCAATCTCTTTCATATACATGGAAATTAAAGATTGAAAAGGTTGGGCAATTGGCCCAGGATCACATAGCTCAGAAGTAGTAGCCCTGGGAAGGACTCACGGGGCCAGCTATCATGTCTGCATCCTCCTAGGTAGCTTGGCTCAATTATCTGCTAAGCTGGGACTCTAGCCCAGGCCTATCACTTCACAAGAAGATCAATCTTCTGCAGTTCTTTTTCACTAGAGAGGAACAGCTTATGGAAAGGTGGTTTTTATATGGCCCAGAGATCTTCATAACCGTACTATCTTCCTTGTTATGGCAGCACCTAGACTCTGTCTGCTCTGAGAAGGAGCAATTAGTACCCTCCTGGCTCTGAGGCAGGCATCTAAGGATCCACAAACCACTGAGTGTAATTAACACACAAAACCCACTTAGGTTCCTCATGCTAAAGCCCAAACAATTCCATCTGGGATGACAGGTTCTACATTAACAACCAGTTTACTAAAGGAATAATTAGTCTACTCTTTTGAAAAGTGAGTAATTACAGGAAATTAGATCAGACTTCCGAGGTTCAAATCTTGGCTCTATCATCTACTTGCTGTTTCCTTTAAGAACTGTTTATCTCAGAGAGTTGTTAAATAAACTACAGGGAACAACGCATCTAACGTACAACAGAATCTTCAAAATGTTTAAGGCCTCTTTCTTTTTCTCTTTCCTATTAACCTCTTTTTACAAAATATTTCCTTTATAAAACTCCCAAAGGGAAAGGACCCACGAGATGTCTACACTAATGGAATATTCTTACATTTGGATATTGCAAAGACTCAACTGATGTGAACACAGAAGATTTTAGATTTTTTCCACTTTTTTCCATACTAAGTTACATACTTGTCATCTAACTTTTAGGTTAATATTTTAAATGATAATTTCATGATTTATTGGATCATTTGCATGCCTTGCCATGGTAACTTCAGTGCACAAAAAACAGTTTAGTCCTGAAGTGAGATAACTGTTACAAGCCAGAAATCTCTTACTTAATGTGCCCATAAGTCTAGTTAATCAGTAACAAGTAGCAAATGATCACACCTGGCTCAATACTCAGGGAAATAGCATTATTTAACAACAGAGGCTCACAGTGATGAAAACAGCCTGATAGCTAAGATATTTCATTTCTTTCCTTCATTAGGCAAAATCCCAGAAAATAATACAGTTTTAAAATCTCTACTTTGGCCCAGCCATAGTGGTAGTGCAATGCTCTGCAATGCTGGAGGCCGATGGAAGATTGGGGTTCAGTTCCAGGATCGACCTGCTCATGCTAGGTATGTAGTCCATGACCCTGGCTAGTTGGACGGGTTGGTGAAGGACCATGGCTTAGGACCCTGTTGAGGGTACTTGTCTTTGTTTCTCTCTCTCTTTCTTTCTCTGTCATGAATTGAGGAAGGAAACTTAAATAAAAATGCCTATCTTGTCTTTAAAAGAACCACATGGTCTGAGAGAGCTGACTCCCCAATTTAAAGAAAGAAAAGAAAAGGAAAAAACCCACACCCACAGTTAAACTGCTATACAGAATTTCCTATTAAATTGGTATAAAATACTGGGACCAGCAGTTAGCGTAATGGCTATGTCACTGGACTCCCACGTAGTCGACTGCTGTTCGAGTCCCAGACCCAGTGGCTTAAACTCACGCCGGGCGTGTGTGCGTGCATGCGTGCCCAAGATCCCGAGAGGAGAATGGAGGAGAAGGGATTGCAGCATGGCCATCCCCCCGGGGGGTGATTTCTCACTTTCTGTCTCTCTGTCTCTCTCTTTCTGGAGAGTGCACACACCCTATAGCAAAAAAACTGTCCAAAAAAAAAAGAAAGTAAATTGGTATAAAATACTTAAAAAGTACTATATATGGCTGCTCTTAAGGCCACTATGTTTCAAAATATTCAGTTGACAAATTTATTTATTATTTTAATAATTATTTTATTTATTCATTTATTTGTTAATTTGACCAGAGAGAGACAGAGGTTGAGAGTGAGAGAGAGAGGAAGTGAGAAAGCAAGCCACCAGATTCAGGACTCAAACCCTGGTCAGCCATGTGGGAGTGTCTAGCACCTTAACCACCACGCCACCTGCTGGTCCCACAGTTGACAAATTTGAGGTATGTAATGACCAAATAAAAGATATAAAAACTATTTATTTAAATGAACACTTAAATAAGAGTTACTTGGTGTGACAGTGACCAATTCAATTTGACTTCACAAAGAATGACTGAGCATCTACCATCTGGTAGGCATAATGCTAGGGGGGTCTCCAAAACCTGATCTGTGACTATAAGGGGCATTTGTAAATGATCCCTTTAAGACAGGACATTTGTCTGTCTAATCACACCATTTAAGAACATCACTTTAGGGGACCAGCAGTTAGCGTAATGGCTATGTTGCTGGACTCCCACGTAGTCGACTGCGGTTCGTGTCCTGGACCCGGTGGCTTAAAACTCACGCCGGGAGCGTGTGCGTGCGTGCCCATGATCCCGAGAGGAGAATGGAGGAGAAGGGACTGCGGCGTGGCCATCCCCCCTGGGGGGTGATTTCTCGCTTTCTGTCTCTCTCTGTCTGGCGAGCGAAAACCTCTTCAAAAAAAAAAAGAACATCACTTTAAAAAAAAAAAAATCACTCTAAATTATCTAGGTAGCTCACTGCTCTGTCCCCCAGCACTTGGGACTGCACAGGAAAAGGAGTGGCACTTATGAGGTCTTCTAAGTGGGGACTGACTGAGGACTGCCTCTATCCTGGCGCCTGAGTATTGAAGCTCAGACTGCGGTCAGTATCTAAAAGCCAACTGTAGCACGGTTTCAAGGCCATCCTTAGAAACAGACCAAGGAGACTATTTCAGGAATAACCGGCCTAAAATGAGTATCAACCAAGAATCTAGTTTTGATTATTTGTACTTTATCTAGTTAACTGTGGACTCCTATTCTGATTATATAATATCAAAGGAGACAAAGTTAGAGAAATTCATTTGTGCTCAAATATGGCAGCTCATCATGGATCGACAGGAAATTACGGAGGAGCAGAAATGACTGCACCCTTATTATGAATGTGAAGGGGCTGGAGGCTCGTCTTCCCTTTCACTTACGGTTACCAGACAAGCCTGCATCAGTGGGGAAGGCTGGGGCAATGACAGTGCACTCCACACCAACCCATTCCCTGAACAAATACTACTGGCAAACATACTGCATGCCAGGCATGGCACGAAGATCTTATAGCCAGAAATGTCACCAATTATTACAGAAATATGATCTGTTCGTGACATTTTAGATTGTGAAAAATGCAGAATTAAAAGGATATCCACTCATGTAAAGGATGAATTTTCCTGTAACAACTAGAATTTCTGTTTCTAAGCAAGTCACACAGTCTGAAGAACCAAGGCAGAGCACACACCACATTCTGTAGCAGGCTTACAGTAAGAAGTCAAGGACAAAAGCTATTTTCAGTGCCAGAATTATCAGATGCAGGAGTAAAATTTTAGCACATGAACAAGGACTCTGCACCTATTGGTTATAAATGACATCATGTTTTCTAAAGACTCGTGTTCGGTTTTTTTCCTCTTTCTAGCAAATTGGATAGTCTGGAGCGCCCTCTCCTGGATAGCATGATTTTTATCAATTTCATGACACTATAAGCCAGAGAGGTGGAATTAGTCCATAGCAAGACATTACTTAAGGGAGGGTTATGGGCTTGCTTTCTTAGTTGAGTCAATATTCCCATAACCCAACAAATAGTCATTTAATTCTGTTAAACAATGAGGAAAATCTTACTCCACCAAGAGAGGAAGGTCTTAACTAAATGTATTACCTTTCGGCTGGAAAAATGACCATGTTTGCCCAGTTTACTGTTCAGTGCTTCGAGGAACATCTCGTCGGTGACTTTGCCGACGTTCATGCAGGCATCATCCAGGATGGCGATAATCCCTTTATGCTGCTGCTCCACAAGGTCCACGATAATCTGATTGTTGAAGTAATCGATCTGTAGGGCACCGTGAGAAAGTGACTGAGACCAGGACGGGTGGAACACCAAGGCTTCCATTCCTATCAGCAATCTACGTACAGCTATCCTGATGTCGAAGACGTGACTAACATTAATGAGGCCTAATGCTAAAGTGAGAATGCATTCTAACATTTTTTTAATTTCTCCATTAACTTTATATCACGACACACTTTGAAATGAGTATAGCCCAAAGCAAAAACTCGAAAGCAGACATTTCTCCCATTACTAATTCTTATTTTAATCTTATCTCTGAATCTCTCATATGGACCTTTTTTTTCATACTCTCAATCTGCCAGCCTCTGTTCATCATTAAGACCTCATTTCCACTGAGTGCCAACTAATAATATTTTTTTTAGAGGTTTTTTGCTTTAGGGTGTGTGCGCTCGCCAGAAAGACAGAGAGAGACAGAGAGACAGAAAGTAAGAAATCATCCCCAAGGGGGATGGCCATGCTGCAATCCCTTCTCCTTCATTCTCCTCTCGGGATCTTGGGCAGCATGCACATGTGCCTGGCATGAGTTTAAGCCACAAAACTCGAACCGCGGTCAACTACATGGGAGTTCAGTGACACAGCCATTATGCTAACTGCTGGTCCCCCAACTAATAATCTTAATGTATCATTTGATATAGTACATGATGATGAAGGTAAGGTACCACACAGACCTTGCTTTTTCAGGTCTGTGATTCTGAAGGACTAAACTCTAAAAGAGCATTTCCTCCCATTTCCCTAAACTAAGAAACCTAGGAGGAGGACTAGCAGATGGCATAATGGTTACGTTGCTAGACTCCCACATAGCTGACTGCAGTTCAAGTCCCAGACCTGGAGGCTTGAAACTCATGCCAGGCACATGTGCATGTGTGCACCCCCAAAAAACAGTCCTAAGAGGAGAATGGAGAAGGGACTGTGGTTTGGCCGTCCCTCCTGGGGAGTGATTGCTTGCTTTTTGTCTCTCTGGCAAGTGCACACCCCCTATAGCAAAAATCTCTCTTAAACAAACAAGGATCTAAAAGAGTTGATATACTGGGGGCTATAATATTAAAAATTTAATTCTGAGATGTAAATATTTGTAAAAACTAAGAATAAGATTTTCGTTTACTTCCATGAGGTAAATGAACTTACTGATAACTTGTGAGTTTTCGGCAACTTCAGTGTGTACGAGGTTTGTGTGAATATCCTGAGTACCCATGTATTCTGGCAGGCTGCAGCACAGTGAGCACATACAGAGAATACGCAGGCCTGACTCAGGCAGACACATCCTGGAGAGGGGCAGCTATCATTCCGTATTTTAGTTTGGGTGCTGAAGTGTCCTATATCTCACACAGAAGGCACCTGGACTGGGTGTTACCTCCGTTACCTTCTGTAAGGTCTGTATACCGTAACAGACCATTAACGTGTCCCATAAACTCCAGTTGCATATTTTAAAACCCAAGGATTGATACCAGTCATTTGCCTGTGGCTTTCAGTGACATTTCTAGTCTTACATGGTCTTTTCTGTATCCCACAGACTGAAAGCCTGCAAGCAAATGACTATTACTTGCCTTTTTATATTTTTATAGAGGTTTGTCTAAATCAGTGATTGGGTATTTTTTTTTTTTTTGGAGAGATTTTTTTTTTAAAGGACACGTGTACTCACTGGAGAGACAGTGAGAGAGAAAGTGAGAAACCAGAGAGGATGGCCACACCACAATCCCTTTTGTTCCGTTCTCCTCTTGGGATTTCGGGCACATACACACATATCCAGCGTGAGTTACAAGTCACCATGTCTGGAACTCAAACTGTGACTGACCATGTGGGAGTCCAGCACCTTAATCATCATGCCACTAGCTGGCCCCCAAATCAGTGATTCTTATTAACGAGGAGATAGTTTGCCTACCAGGCAACATTCGACAAGGTTGAGAGGCATTTGTTAACCGTTAGCCATGGCTAGAGGAGCCTGGCTCCCTCGATAGAATAACCAAAATATAGGACACGTAAGAACAGAACAACTACTATGTGACACTTTGGGGATGCAATTAGAAAAACACAGACGGTGGGAAAGTCCACAGAGCCAATGACCACTTCTCATTTAACACAAGATTTTCAGAGGGACAGACAGAGATAGAAATGATAAACAGATGGAGGAGAAAATCTACAGATACATAAAAGATCTATCAACCAGTCATAGCATTAAAAAAACCTCATTTGGATTGAAATTCAAACAAACTTTAAAATAAGAACAATGCGATAATTAAGGAAGTATGAAATATAAACACTAAATGCTATTTGATGATATTAAGAAATTAAAAAAAATTTTAGGTATGAAAATGTTATTGTAGTTATGGTTTTTTTTTAAAGGTTATAATCTTTTAGAGAAATATACTGAAATATTTACACATAAAATCATGTGATGTTTTGAGATTTGCTTCAAAAATAACCTAGGGGGGACCAGCAGATGGCATAATGGTTAAGTTGCTGGGCTCCCATGTAGTCAAAGGCCATTCAAATCCTGGACCTGGTGCCTTAAGACTCATGCCAGGCATGTGTGTGTACATGTCCCGGATCCCAAGAGGAGAATGGAGAAGAGACTGCAGTGTGCCCATCCCCCCTGGAGGGTGATTTCTTGCTTTCTGTCTGTCTTTCTGTAGAGCATACACACCCCATAGCAAAAATCTTTCTTAAAAAAAAAAAAGTAAAAAAATCTAGGGGTGGGTGAGTGGGAAAACATAATACAAGACCAGGCAATCTACTGATGACTGAAATAACTCGGTTACAGGTACAAAGACTTTATTACAATTTTTCCTCATGTTTTCCAAAATAAAACATTTTTCCCAAATAAAATATTTTTTAAAACAAGAATTCCTGTATTCAGATATTTGGGAATTTTAAAAGGAAATATCCGGAATAGAAGAAATTCTAATTTTGAGGGTCTGGTTCCACAGCCTGGTGGTTAAAGCAGTCAATTCCACACAACTAATTGCCTGTTGTAAGCCCAGCCTCCATGGATCGCAAAACAGGCTGATGCATGTGCATGCATGCCCGAAATCCTAAGGGGGTGGAGAAGGAAGGAGGGATTGTGGTGTGATCATGCCCCACCGTAGGGTGCTTTCTCCTTCTTCTCTTGACCTCCAGACCTCCAGTCTTTCTGGCAAGCACATGTGCCCTCTTACAATTGTTTTCAAAAGTTCTATTTTTGGGGGAAATGGCATGAAGTAGTCTGTAGTCGGTAACTGCTACCTTGGTGATAACCTTCAGCTTCCTCTACAGCACATGTTTCTTGGCCTATATAGCTAAAAATTACTGCATTTTTAAGGTTATGATCTTTTTGCAGATGGTGAAGATAGCTTTCTGCAATTGTTTCTTTTTCCTTTATAAAAGATGCCTGTGAAATTCCCAAATATCTCATTGTGGAATTTGATACTCTCATTGTTAAAGGCTATTTCTGACAGGTACTTCTGAAGGGGTCAGATCTGAATAACATTTTATGATTAAATGTGCTATAAAAAAATCTAAGCTTTAGTTATACTGTGTACTATTAAAATGTTAATTCTTATAAAGTTTCATGTAAACTTAATTGAAATGAATTACATTTAAAATGTGCTATTTGCATTTGCTATTTAAATCAAACTGCAGGTAATTATCTTATAACTGATGACCTTGACTTTATTTGTAAATAGGTAAAATTTATGCTAATGTACTCAAATTAAATTTTTATGATCTTCTAATGTTTAACACATGATGGAAAGGAAAAATGCAATTTGAGGCAGGAAAGCTATTTATTATACCATTGTCTCTTTTTTTTTTTTTTCTGAATGAGAGGAGATAGGAAATAGGAAGATAGGAAGGAATGTAAAAGTAATTTAAATGTCGTATTTCAAAGAGCTTTTTTACTGCTATTATGGTAGATATAAAAAAAAATTGGCTCTATTTTTAGTGTCTGGCAAGATAAACAGAGTTTTATAAATTCAGAAATTTATGGAGACTTAGAAGGTTTTACATTTTTCGAGTCTTTTTAAAAACAATTGTTTAAGTGGTTGGCAGGTGGTGTTGTGGTTAGGGCAATGGACTCCCACATGGTCAATCACAATTTGAGTCTCAGACCTGGTAGCTTGCTTTCTCACTTTCCCTCCATTTATTTCTGTCTCTCTCTCTCTGGTCAAATTTTAAAAACAATAAATAAAGTAATTGTTTAAAAATTCAAATTTACAAGAGAAATTAAAAGATCTCATTTTTATTGTAAGCAGGAGGGGTAATCTAGACAATAAGAAAGCTACTGCATCATGCCTTCTAGCTGTGACACCTGGGGTTTGCATCCTGGCCTAGTCATACTTTCTGGCTCTCCTTTCCCAGTCTAGTTTGATTCTGACAGATAAGAGTTCGCAAAGAGCCATGAGAACTAAGCAAAGGAAAGTAAACAGAGATGAAAGTAATACTGTTGTTTCACAGGTTTCAGAGAAGATGGACAACTTTACTGAAGATAAGTAATGCCATTCAGTTGAAAAAGTAGGCGAGATGGAAGAAGAACAAAAGAAAAGGAAGGAATGTGAAAAAACTAGATTTGGAAATAAAGTTCAGCCAACTTAAGGCAAAACATAGTAACTTTTAAATGACACTAAACTGTAAGAGACAGACAGGAACCAGAAAGCTCATGTTGTATCAGCCATAAGGTGAAAATGTTACGTTTACTGATGATAACTTGGCATGTTCTGGGCACCAATAGGGAATTCATTGATTTAGAGAAATCTCACTTAGAGACCCTGAAAATGAATTGTATTTATATATCTCCAAAAGGACAGCTAAGGTTCAGATACGTCAACTACCCAAGAAGATCCAGGAATACCTAAAATGGTAAGATCGGACATTTTCCATGAGTCTACTCACATGCTTCCAAGGGATGCCCTCCCGCTGGTATTCCTCTTGTTCTTGCTTTAAAACCAGCTGAATAAAGAGCTGCTGCAGTTTCTCATTGCAGTAATTGATGCAGAATTGTTCAAAGCTACAAGAAAAGCAATCCATTAGGTTTAAACAAAAAAAATAAGCAACAGGGCTTTAAGTATCTTGTCCACTTTACCTGTTGTTGTCAAAGATTTCAAAGCCATAAATATCCAAGACACCAATAACAGTGTTTTTCCCATGGATTGTGGTGTCATAGTTCTTGACCTCGATAATATCATTGATGCGAGTAACGATCCAACAAAAAAGACGCTCATATATTGCCTGTGAGGAAAATGACATCATAAATTCGTGCCCCTGTAGGAATTACCTGTCTGTTTGGATTTGTGATAAGTCCACCTTCTCCTTGCTGTTTAACATGGCAGTGATGATTAGCCTAAGCAGAACAATTAGAAATGCAAAGTATCTTTAAAAAAAAAAAAAGATACATGTAAAACTAAACAGTTTCAATTTTTAAAAGATTATTAGCAATCACTATACATATGCCAACAACATTGCTTAAGCAGGTTTCCACACCGATATGTCAATAATTCACCTACTTTCTCCTGTAAGTCACTTCATTGCTTTATTGTTAATTTCATCAACTATAAAATGTTGGCAACTGGGACCAGCAGATGGCATAATGGTTACATCGCTGGACTCCCACATAGTTGACTATAGTTCAAGTCCCAGACCCGGCGGCTTAAACACGCTGGGCGCGTGTGCGTCCAAGATCCTGAGAGGAGAATGGAGGGGAAATTATTGCAGAGTGGCCATCCCCCTTGGGGGGGTGATTTCTTGCTTTCTGTCTCTGTCTCTTTCTGTCTCTCTCTGTCCAGCGAGCACACACACCCAATACCAAAAGTCGCTCTCTCAAAAAAAAAAAAAAAAAAATGTCGGGAACCAGCAGTTAGCGTAATGGCTGTGTCGCTGGACTCCCACGTAGTCGACCGTGGGTCGTGTCCCGGACCTGGTGGCTTAAAAATCACACCGGGCGTGTGTGCGTGCGTGCCCAAGATCCCGAGAGGAGAATGGAGGAGAAGGGATTGCGGTGTGACCATCCCCCCCTGGGGGGTGATTTCTCGCTTTCTGTCTCTATGTCTCTGTCTGTCTGGCGAGCGCACGCACCCTACAGTGAAAATCTCTCCAAAAAAAAAAAATGTTGGCAACCAGTGAGTTAATGTCTATGTTGCACTAAAGCTCTATGAACTCTAAAAATATAAACATTGATCACTAATGCTAAATAAAGGCCTAGCCAAAAGGCAAAAGCTTAAAATTGTTTGATAATCGAACAGGCAGCTAATACACAAGAACAAACACCAAAACAAACAAAGGTGCCACACACAAACACACGTTCATATCCTGAAACACGCAGGCTCTGTAATGTCACGTCTTAAGAAAGCCCTTCCTTAACACCACTGTCCAGCCCCACCCAGTCTCAACACTCATACATGCTGCCTTCATTCTTCACCTTCTCTTTACTTTTCAATCTAATTCAGTCTTCACTGATGTCTTGTTACTCCACAGAAATGGTTCATCGAAGATCTCAACATCTCTATATGGACCCTTCTGGTCTCTTTCTTTCTCAGACTCTCAGCATAACTCAACTTAGTGTCCCTCCTTCTTCTTGGAATATTTTCTTCTCTGGCATTAGTCATACCACCCTTTCTTAATTTTCCTCTTGTTTCACTGGCTGCTCCTTTTTGGTGACCTGTGGTACACTCTTCCTCTAATTGACTTCTAAACACTGAAGTGCTTCCTAGTCCTCTTTACTTTCCAACACCTTCTGAGTCACCTCACCCAATATTAAATATTGCCAATACAATATGACTCTCAAATGTGTTATCCTAACTCAGACCCAGAGGAAGGCTTCTGAGGTCCCAACTCACACGCTGGACTACCTGACCCTGACTCATAGAGGTCTCTGCCATCTCAAACATAGGTCTTGTCAGGATTCTTTTTTTGGGAGAGGTTTTTGCTATAGGGTGTGTGTGCTCACCAGAAAGACAGAGGGAGACAGAGAGACAGAAAGCGAGAAATCACCCCCCAGGGGTATGGCCATGCTGCAATCTCTTCTCCTCCATTTTCCTCTCGAGATCTTGGGCACACACGCACACACGCACACGTGCCCGGCATGAGTTTAAGCCACCAGATCTGGAACTCAAACCGCAGTAGGCTACATGGGAGTCCCATGACATAACCATTACACCAACTGATGGTCCCGGTCTTGTCAGGATTTTTGATCTTCCAACCTCCAAAAACCTGATGTCCCCATTTCCCCAAACTGTCCCAAACTGTTTATTCATACTTCACTTTTAGTCATAACTAAATAGCACCACTTAGGAATTTTTCACTTATTCAGCAAATAACTGCTGATACTGACTAGGTGCTACATATAGTTTGTTGGAGACATAGTACTAAGCAACCACAAATGTGGTCTTGGTCTCCAGGGAGCTCAGGGTGTAGGGTAAAGGAAAAATCACACACACACACATACACACACACACACATACACACACACACACATACACACACACACACATACACACACACACACATACACACACACACACATACACACACACACACATACACACACACACACATACACACACACACACATACACACACACACACATACACACACACACACATACGTACACATAAGGAGAGATTGCGTAGAATCTGAGGGGAATTTAACCTACTCTATGTTCGTGGAGGCCAGAGAATGTTTGTCTGAAAAAGTGACCCTTGGGCTAAGATCAGGATGAGAGGAGGTGATAGGCAAGAGGGAAGAGAAGAGCAATCCAGCCAGAGATCACATTGTTCCTCTGTGCAGAAGTCCCATGGCTGGAAGGATAAAGGGATAAAGGTGACCTGTGAGGCCTGAGAGGAGACTAAGTGCTGGAGCGAAGAAGGGGAGTGGAATATGGTGTAAAATGAGGAGGCAGAGGTCGGCTACAGCTAAAGCATATTAAGGTGTCATCCTTGAGTCTCTCATTCCCCACTCGAAAGGTCTCGTAGATTTCATTTTCTACACAGTCTGTGTCAAACCATCTTCCTCTCCCTATTTCCACTGTGACTTGCCTAGTTCAAGTTGCCATCATCTCTCTCCAGATGAATGAAATATCCCCTTAACTGGTTTCTCTGTGTCCACTTTTGCTCTACCTCCCCATAGGATTCTTCTTACTAAGACCACAGTGAAATTTTAAAATTTCAAACTTGATCTCATTGCCCCTCTTGAAATTCTCTAATTGTTCTCTATTGCACTTAGAATAAATTAAAATTCCTCCAGAAACTAAAAACCAAGCCTGTGACTTACAAGAATAATAAACTGGCTGCTAATTTAATCAACTAGCACACCCTCCCCCTAAAAAAACCCACAAAAAATGAAAAACAAAATTAGATTTTAGAAATACAATACTTGCCATACAGGTAATAGAGAAAGGGTTAAATTTGTGATATACACAGAGGTTTTAGAAACAAAAAGATAACAGCCCTAAAGGAAAATGTATCAAGGTTATACCATAGGTCCATTTTATGAGATAATTTATACATTTTTTTACATTTATATGAGGCTATTTTCAGAGTAGATTTAAATACTTAACAGAAATATTCAGTTACTCAAATATATTGGTCATACAAATTTAAGTGGCAATAAGATATTACTGCACAGATATAAAATCAGTACATTTAATATATAAAATTAGTATACCCTTTAACCCAGCAAGTTCTTTCCTGGGAACATATCCAATTGAAATAAATGCACTGGAAGGTTTGGACGGACATACAAGGATTTCCAGTATTGCTTGTAGTCGCAGAAAGAAAGAAAGAAGAAAGTGAATGACTTAAGAGGAAGGTGATTAAATACACTGTGATGTCATTTCTATAGACTGCTACAAGGACACGGAGGACATTATGCTAAGTGAACGTGGCCAGGTACTGTGAGATAAATACCACACGATTTCGCTTATTTGTAGAATCTGAAAACACAGAACTCAGAGAAGGAGAGAGTAGAACAGCAGTTACAGAGGCGGGTGCATGGACGGGTGAATAGAGGGAGTGAGATGTTGGTCCAAGGACAGAGTTTTAGCTAGAAAGGAGGAATTAGTTCTGGTGATCTATTGTATGGCATGGTGACTATAGTGAATAATAACGTATTATAGATTTTGAAATTGCTAAGAGAGTAGATTTTTTTTTTTTTTTTTAATTTTTTACTTTAGGG